ATTAAAAACACTGTATTTACCTTTCTTTGATGATTTATTATATATAATTTAACAGTGTTAACGGCTATCTTGATTTATATTATATGTACCTATATTGTTTCTAGCCGTACCTATTGTGTAATGGAGTGTATCATTTGAATCTGTTCAACCATGAAGCCTCCGTGGTCTATTGGTTATGACGCTCGCCTTGACAGCGAGAGGTCGCAGGTTCGAGTCCCGCCAGAGGCATTTTATTACACAATTTCTTTATTCATTTATTTGCAGGATTACATTCGTTGAGAGCTATGCTACGCGATGTATTATAGTCCTTTATTAAAACACTGTATTTACCTTTCTTTGATGATTTATTATATATATACGTATATATAATACTAAATTAAAAAGACTCGTACTTGTTTGTTCAATGATTAGGCCTATTATGTACATTATACTTTTGCGTATAAGCATAGATTACATTAAGTCTACCGATCTTTCAAAGAGCGACATAATATTATTACAGTACACAAAACAAGTTTCATTACCATTTTTTTTATTTTAGATTACAATGTGCGACGAAGATACAGCGATTGTCATTGACAATGGATCAGGCATGTGTAAAGCCGGCTTTGGTGGAGATGACGCACCAAGAGCAGTATTTCCAGCCATTGTAGGCAGGCCTAGACATCAGGTATGAATGATATATTTTGTTATTGTAAGATATGTTATTAGTTTTTAATTTTGAATGGGAATGATTTCTTAAACTTCCAAAAATAAGTCGTTATTAATTGAGTTTGCAATTCAAGATAAAACAATTTAAAAATCATAAATACATATTTTGTAAATCTAATTTCTTGTCTGAATTTCACCATAGCAAATGATGGTTGGTATGGGACGGAAAGACAGTTACATCGGCGATGAAGCACAGTCTAAACGAGGGATACTCACCCTGAAATATCCTATAGAACATGGTGTTGTAACAAACTGGGACGACATGGAGAAGATATGGCATCATTGCTTCTACAATGAACTGCGCGTCGCCCCGGAAGAACACCCGATATTACTCACTGAGGCTCCTCTCAACCCTAAGGCAAATAGAGAGAAAATGACACAGGTAATGGTTTTATTGTTACCAATATAACCAATGATTCTGTATGCCAGTGTTTCTTTTTTTATTTATTTATTTATTTATTTTTTTTCACGCGCCCTCTAATGATCCAGCGCTTGGGACTATTCCATTTTCTTCTAAAGTGTAAAATAACTTTTTTATTCTTGATGTTTCTCTCGCTTCGGCTGGAATAAACAAGTGAGAAGAATGGCTAAAACACAGTAAAAGTAGTCACGTAATAAAAATCCGTTCTATTTTCAGATAATGTTTGAAACATTCAACGTGCCCGCAATGTACGTAAATATACAGGCAGTTCTATCCTTGTATGCTGCAGGTAGGACGACTGGAATAGTATTCGACTCAGGTGATGGTGTGTCTCACGTGGTACCGATCTACGAAGGATACGCGCTTCCGCACGCCATTGAACGTGTTGATCTTGCTGGACGTGACCTCACAGACAATTTAACAAAAATATTATCAGAAAGAGGATACTCTTTGACTAACACAGGTAAATATTTCGTTATGCGACAACTAAAAGTTAACTTTAACTTGTGCTTTAGCGCGCATTGATTAAGCACTGCATCAGCCAAACAAGAATGAGCTTTTGAAGTGAATCATAATATGTCGCTATTTATGGAAACGATATTGTTTTGCACGTGTGTGTATGTATAAGCTGTTGGTATATATTTATATAAATTATTTTATTACACACACATTCTATTCGATTTCAGCTGAAAAAGAAATCGTACGAGATCTGAAAGAGAAGCTATGCTACGTCGCCCTTGACTTTGAGCAAGAAATGACAACTGCTGCATCTAGTTCAGCTTTGGAAAAGAGTTACGAACTTCCAGACGGACAAGTGATCACAATTGGAAACGAACGATTCCGGTGCCCCGAAGTTCTATTCCAACCGTCATTCATCGGAATGGAGCATTGTGGAATTCACGAGACAATATTCAACAGCATAATGAAATGTGACGTGGACATTCGCAAAGACATGTATCAAAACTGCGTACTGTCTGGTGGGTCTACGATGTATCCAGGTATTGCGGATCGTCTGCAAAAAGAAATGACCTCACTGGTACCTGCAGGTATGAAAGTGAAAATCATCGCTGCTCCAGAACGAAAGTACTCCGTGTGGATAGGCGGCTCTATATTAGCTTCTCTCTCCACATTTCAACAGATGTGGATTAGTAAACAGGAATATGACGAATCGGGGCCTGGAGTCGTCCACAGAAAATGTTTTTAAAACCGAAATAGGCCCTTAATATTTTCGTAGTAGTAGTAGGCCTAGTAGTAGTAGAATACATTTTTTTTTAAATGTAGGAAACGTATTTATTTTTCTGGTCCTCATGCATACCTATTAAATATTTAAGTCTTGAAATGGGGGAGGGGTTGATGGGGAGCGAAATTGAAGTAGCGTGGGTGGGGGTGGTCTCGATGATTGCGTGAGGATCGCTAGCTCGCAATAAGGTTGTAACATTTAATCTTTTGGTATTTTAAAGTTACATTTTAATTGACGTTTATTTGTTTCTGAGTGCAATGTGTTTCCTATGTTAATTTTACATTTTCTTTAAATTGTTGTTTCCTTTTTTTATGCAATTCGTTGTTTCTTGCAATTTTTTTTAGATTTTAGCAAAGAAATATTTTAAATTTCTCATAATTTTATTCATTGTAGATATTATGGCCTATCTGTATTTGTTTTGAATGAAAGCCTCTTCAAGTCAACATTGCTGTTAGAGCCATTGTTGAATAAATAAATATGAGGTGATCTGAGCGTAATTGTTTGGCTTCGAACATTTCCGATGGGAGAGGGACACTGGATTAGTAGGGGGTGTTCTATGGCCGCCCACTAGATACGCCACTGAATCAATGTGTGTCCGATATAGCCTATAAATGTTTTTATTATTATTATCATTATTGTTATGCTAATTTCGTACACTATGATAGGCCTATTCTATTATGATTTTTATGTACCATCCTGAATTTTATTTGTTCGTTAAAAACCATTATATATGAGATATTTTTTGTATCACATCGTCTGTACAAACATGTATTGAACACCTGGATCCTTTAGGTTCGAATTTAGTTACCGCATTGGCATGGACTGAATTTTACATTAATTTCTGTGGATAACGTCGATATTGATTAACAAAATATTTGTCCCTATTATAAATACTTAAGCAATTAGTATCGATGAATTATTTGTAGGCCTACAGCTAGATTTCATAATATACAGACTAGCCTTACTTGAACCGTTAGTAAACAGCACTCTCGGTATTTCTATCAATCTTTTGCAATTAATCGTCTCTTAATTTTAAGTTCGTTTGTTATGTAAATTTTGGCTGACTAAAAATCAATAAATAAATTATGTATTATATGTAAATTATCAATTTGTGGTTATCTATTTACCTGACTACAAATAATTCAATAAGTTAAGTTCGATTTTTGTCAAGTATATTTTGGTTCTTTGTAAATTTGGATGAATAAAAATGAATATATAAAATATGTATTGTGAAAATCAGTACTTTATGATTATCTGTCTACAGTATCTACAATTAATTACGCTATAAGTACATGTACGACTTGACGAATTAATTATTATATTATAATTATTATTTCGTCTGTACGAGGCATTTACTTGGTCTGAATATTATGAGGCTCGATATACTTATCGTATAGGTATAGGCACATAATCCCATTTCAAAAATCACACGGTACCGTAACATTCCCACATAAGCATAATAGGTCTATGTAAGATGCGAAATCATTGAGCCATTTTCATTAAGCCAAAAAAGATGTGCAAGTCTGAACAACCAAAATTCTCAACAATCTTGGGTCTAATTTTTCCAGTTGTCAGTAGGGGTGGGGTGGCGGGACATAAAAAGTAGCCTATTTGCCTTAAACTTATGTCACATAATTTGTTGTAACCCATCAGCATACATACATACATACATACATACATACATACATACATACATACATACATACATACATACATACATACATACATACATACATACATACATACATACATACATACATACATACATACATACATACATACATACATACATACATACATACATACATACATACATACATACATACATACATACATACATACATACATACATACATACATACATACATACATACATACATACATACATACATACATACATACATACATACATACATACATACATACATACATACATACATACATACATACATACATACATACATACATACATACATACATACATACATACATACATACATACATACATACATACATACATACATACATACATACATACATACATACATACATACATACATACATACATACATACATACATACATACATACATACATACATACATACATACATACATACATACATACATACATACATACATACATACATACATACATACATACATACATACATACATACATACATACATACATACATACATACATACATACATACATACATACATACATACATACATACATACATACATACATACATACATACATACATACATACATACATACATACATACATACATACATACATACATACATACATACATACATACATACATACATACATACATACATACATACATACATACATACATACATACATACATACATACATACATACATACATACATACATACATACATACATACATACATACATACATACATACATACATACATACATACATACATACATACATACATACATACATACATACATACATACATACATACATACATACATACATACATACATACATACATACATACATACATACATACATACATACATACATACATACATACATACATACATACATACATACATACATACATACATACATACATACATACATACATACATACATACATACATACATACATACATACATACATACATACATACATACATACATACATACATACATACATACATACATACATACATACATACATACATACATACATACATACATACATACATACATACATACATACATACATACATACATACATACATACATACATACATACATACATACATACATACATACATACATACATACATACATACATACATACATACATACATACATACATACATACATACATACATACATACATACATACATACATACATACATACATACATACATACATACATACATACATACATACATACATACATACATACATACATACATACATACATACATACATACATACATACATACATACATACATACATACATACATACATACATACATACATACATACATACATACATACATACATACATACATACATACATACATACATACATACATACATACATACATACATACATACATACATACATACATACATACATACATACATACATACATACATACATACATACATACATACATACATACATACATACATACATACATACATACATACATACATACATACATACATACATACATACATACATACATACATACATACATACATACATACATACATACATACATATAAATAACACTATTTATATAATGTTATTAAGTGTCAGGCAATAAATATTGTTTAATTATTGTAGCTTGAATGTCTGTTGAAGATTTAACATCAGTTGTCATCGACAATGGTTCTAATACGATTAAAGCTGGTTTTGCGGGAGATGATGTGCCAAGGACCGTATTCCCAGCTATTGTTGGCAGACCCCGATATAAGGTATCAGATTTAAAGTTTAGTTTACCCATTATTATTGTTGTTATAATTATTGTTATTATTGTCATTGCTATTATTAATACTACCGTACTGTTATTGATTAGTATTGTTATTATTATTATTATTATTATTATTATTATTATTATTATTATTATTATTATTATTATTATTATTATATGTATTTTGCGCTTTACAAATCCAAATTATTATTATTATTATTATTATTATTATTATTATTATTATTATTATTATCTAAATGTTATTACAGGAAGGTTTACTTGGTCTGCAACTTAAAGACAGTTATATCGGCGATGAAGCACAGTCTAAACGAGGGTTACTGACCCTAAACCGTCCGATAGAACGTGGTGTTGTAACAAACTGGGACAACATGGAGGCGATATGGCATCATTGCTTCTACAATGAACTCTGCGTTGCCCCGGAAGAACGCCCAATATTACTCACTGAAGCTCCACTCAACCCTAAGGCAAATCGAGAGAAAATGACACAAGTACGGAGTAATGTTTTCTTTAATTTCATATGTCCAATTGTGTTATCTGTTCAATGTTAACAACTTAGAGTACACATTTTTTAGCTGTGTGGTTGTGTTTTTCACGCGCTTCAGCGCTTGAGACTATTCCATTTTGTCTATAGGTGTGCTAAATTCTTGTTTATCATGCTTCTTTACTCTATAGATTATATTACTTAGATTATATAATTCCGTATTCCTTCTCATTTTCAGATAATGTTTGAAACGTTCAACGTGCCTGCTATGCACGTGGATATACAAGCAGTTCTGTCGTTGTATGTAGGAGGTAGGACGACCGGTGTAGTATTCGACTCAGGCGATGGCGTGTCTCATGTGGTACCGATCTACGAAGGATACGCGCTCCCGCACGCCATTGAACGCGTTGAACTTGGTGGACGTGATCTCACATTAAATTTGAAAAAAATATTAGTATCAAAAGATATATACCCTTTCACGAACAGCCCAGGTAAATACTTCGTATTTCCTCAATAGGGTTGATTGGCATTCAAAAGAATTGTGGTCTTATCGTACGCTATGGAAGTCAGCCTTTTAGCAAAATGTCACCATCATTACCACACACACACACACACACACATATACACACACACACACACGCAAACACACGCAAACACACAATGTGATCATAACATCAGTTTGTCCTATAATCGAGTACTTTTTTGTCATTTAC